CCGCTGAACGAGTGCGACACACGGCTCGAAAGCAGCGGAGCTTTTATTATGCCACAGTTGACCGCTTCCGCTCCTTCCGGTCCTGCGTATGTGGGGGAAAAAAAACAGCTGTTTTATCATACTAGATACATTTGAAAGTTTTGTTATAATGCTACTCTGTGCAGTCGTCACCAGTCTATTAAAACGCACAACATATTAAAGCGTCTTTGGTGTTTCCATGTTTTCTACAAAACAAAACCGGAAATCGAGGGGTTAGGACGTCATTGGCAGGCGACACAATGACACTATAGACACGGTCCGTGTCACTAGTTAAAATTGCTTATTTCTCTGGATTTAAACATTCTTCAAACATTTGGGATAATGTAAGTACACAAGTCAGCAAAATATATAACACGGTTCTAGTGGTTTTTGGATATTTTAATAAAAAAATCTTGTTATCTCAATCTTGTATCTCATATTGTGCCTTTAACTTAAAAAAAAATAGGAGCAGAGTCAACAATTTAGGAGCACCTACCGATCAATGACAAAAATTTAAGTGTGACTCCTTAAAGTGATTTGCAGAGACACCTTTGTAATGGCATTTTTTCCTAACCTTTTTAAATATCAAATTCATAAATTTATATTTACAAACCTTTTTTAAACAATTTAATGAAAATAAATTAATTTAACCAGACATCAGGAAGAATAGGTTACCAACCAAAGGAAATCAGTATCATCAAAATTCATCTTTGCACTACAGAGGTGCACAGAAGCACACAAAAGTGGTATTTCAGTATATTTACACTGTTTAATGAGGCTCAGAGGTGGCATGAATGCATTTAATTACATTTTGATTAGATCAAACAGCTGATTCATTCATGAACAAAGCGAGTGACTGTTTTTTGAATGGGTGACTGAAACATTGACTCACTAGATTCTTTCAAAAACACACATTCATTTATTTGCAACGGCTCAGCTGTGACTTTGTTTGGTACTATTGTCGTTGATAAAATAGAGCAAAGACAGACAACAGTGTTTCTAAAATGTAAGCCACACTTCTTGTTTATTGAACTGTTGTATAAAATCAATATCACATTTGCAAACTCTCTTATAAACAATGGAAAGCCGTCACTCATCTCAGTTCATCTCACAAACTTCTGCTACAGCTCTCTGCTGCATAATGAATCACTTATGTACATTGTGTCTACACTTTTTTTTGTAATGAGAGGATCAGCACTGACTGATCCTCTCAGCAACTCAGCACTAAAAAAAACGAAGTGATTCAAATGCCTCTGATTGGACACGCATTCAAGAAATCAACAGATATGTCTGTTATTGGCTACACTGCTCAACAGCTGCTAGAACACGTTGTAAATTGAAACCTTCGATGCTCTCCAGAGCACAAACACAGACTCGCATGTATGTCTGGATTACCGTGTGCGTTTCTGGATCTATTGCGTGCTTGTGCAAGTGTGGTAGGTTATGATATTATTTTCAATCTATATGCGTCTCATTAATGGAAATGCGAGGTAATTTTGGGCTAGACTACATTATTTTTAGACAGAGTTTACATTAAAACCTGGAATATTCAGGTACGCTAACAGATTTGTCCATATACAATTTTCATTTAATACACATACAGTGGGTACGGAAAGTATTCAGACCCCCTTAAATTTTTCACTCTTTGCTATATTGCAGCCATTTGCTAAAATCATTTAAGTTAATTTTTTTTCCTCATTAATGTACACACAGCACCCCATATTGACAGAAAAACACAGAATTGTTGACATTTTTGCAGATTTATTAAAAAAGAAAAACTGAAATATCACATGGTCCTAAGTATTCAGACCCTTTGCTGTGACACTCATATATTTAACTCAGGTGCTGTCCATTTCTTCTGATCATCCTTGAGATGGTTCTACACCTTCATTTGAGTCCAGCTGTGTTTGATTATACTGATTGGACTTGATTAGGAAAGCCACACACCTGTCTATATAAGACCTTACAGCTCACAGTGCATGTCAGAGCAAATGAGAATCATGAGGTCAAAGGAACTCAGCTATAGACACAAATTCCCTGCTATGTTTTTATTATTTATTGCGCTATGTTATGTGCGTAACTCAGATTGCTGTTCAGAAAGTTTACTCATTTGTAGAAATTATTTTATGAAGGGAAAAATTATTCATCGTACAACAATTAAAATAATATCTAATGTCTTGTATCCTCTTTCAGCAGTTTATTTCTTTCTAAGCAGGATGGCACAAGGAAAATTGTATTCACCCTGTGTAAGTATTGTAAATATAGAATGTGTGTAATTTATCATATTAATGGAATATGTATATGGAATATATATGGAATATACAGTAGAATGTGTTCTACAGTTTGTTCTGGAATTGTTCTGTTTTTGGCTAAATATAAATGAAAACTATTGAAAGATTTTACAGGAATTTGTTTCTTTTTACAGTGTGTTTGTGGTGTGCTATTCATTCTACAACTAGAGTTGGGTAAGTGATTCAATTATGTGTCATTACTTTTTTTTTATCTAATACAAACATGTTTTTGTAAAAAGTAATAATAATTTTTTAAAAGGTATAATATTTTTCTTTTAAAAATCCAGTGCTTCAACAACGGAGTCTACAACTTCAGGATATACAGCTTCAGAAACAACAACTGTACTTGCCACTTCAACATCAGCAACATCAGTTCCAACCTCATCTGATTCTTCAGGTACAACAATGGTTATAACCACGGAACCACTTGCTTCAACAACCATGCCTACATCTTCAGAAACGACAACTGCAGCTGAAACAACAAATACTGCATCCACAACCACAACTGAACCTTCCACTGCTACAGCTGTACCCACAACGTCACTTGGACTCACAACAATGGAAATCACTACAACTTCAGAGAGTACAACAGTGCAAACCACGACTACAGCTTCATCAACCACATCTACAACAACAAACGATCCAACAACATCAACAGCTGTAACTTCAGAATCCACAACTCTTACTTCAACAACAATGCCTACATCTTCAGAAACAACTGCACCTGTAACAACATCAATAACTACAGCATCCTCAACTACTGAAATTCCCACCATCACGGTTGTGAGTACAGAATCCACAACTCTTACTTCAACAGTGGTGCCTACAACTTCAGAAAGTACAACAGCAGAAACGACAACTACAGCTTCATCAACCACACCTACAACAACAAACGATGCAACAACATCAACAGCTGTAAGTTCAGAATCCACAACTCTTACTTCAACAACTATGTCTACATCTTCAGAAACAACTGCACCTGTAACAACATCAGCAACTACATCATTATCAACTACTGAAATTCCCACAACCACGGTTGTGAGTACAGAATCCACAACTCTTACTTCAGCAGTGGTGCCTACAACTTCAGAAAGTACAACAGCAGAAACCACACCTATTACTTCAACAACACTGCCTACAACTTCAGAAAGTACAACAGCAGAAACCACGACAACAGCTTCATCAACCACACCTACCACAACAAACGATGCAACAACATCAACAGCTGCAAGTTCAGAATCCACAACTCTTACTTCAACAACTATGTCTACATCTTCAGAAACAACTGCATCTGTAACAACAACAGTATCTACAGTACCCTCAACTACTGGAATTCCCACAACCACAGTTGTGAGTACAGAAACCACAACTATTACTTCAACAACACTGCCTACAACTTCAGAAAGCACAACAGCAGAAACCACGACTACAGCTTCATCAAGCACATCTACAACAAACGATCCAACAACATCAACAGCTGTAACTTCAGAATCCACAACTCTTACTTCAACAACTATGCCTACATCTTCAGAAACAACTGCGCCTGTAACAACATCAATAACTACAGCACTGTCAACTAGTGAAGTTCCCACAACCACAGTTGTGAGTACAGAGACCACACCTATTACTTCAACAACTATGTCTACATCTTCAGAAACAACTGCACCTGTAACAACATCAATAACAACAGCATCCTCAACTACTGAAATTCCCACCACCACGGCTGTGAGTACAGAATCCACAACTCTTACTTCAACAGTGGTGCCTACAACTTCAGAAAGTACAACAGCAGAAACCACGACTACAGCTTCATCAACCACATCTACAACAACAAACGATCGAACAACATCAACAGCTGTAACTTCGGAATCCACAATTCTTACTTCAACATCAATGCCTACATCTTCAGAAACAACTGCACCTGTAACAACATCAGTATCTACAGTACCCTCAACTACTGAAATTCCCACCACCACAGTTGTGAGTCCAGAATCCACAACTCTTACTTTAACAGTGGTGCCTATAACTTCAGAAAGTACAACAGCAGAAACCTCAACTATAGCTTCACCAACCACATCTACAACAACAACTGATCCAACAACATCAACAGCTGTAACTTCTGAATCCACAACTCTTACTACAACAACGATGCCTACATCTTCAGAAACAACTGCACCTGTAACAACATCAGTAACTGCATACTCAACTACTGAAATTCCCACAACCACAGTTGTGAGTACAGAAACCACAACTATTACTTCAACAGTGGTACCTACAACTTCAGCTTCATCAACCACACCTACCACAACAAACGATCCAACAACTTCAACAGCTGTAACTTCAGAATCCACAACTCTTACTTCAACAACTATGCCTACATCTTCAGAAACAGCTGCACTGGTAACATCAATAACTACAGCATCGTCAACTACTGAAATTCCCACAACCACAATTGTGAGTACAGAAACCACACCAATTACTTCAACAGTGGTGCCTACAACCTCAGAAAGTGCAACAGTAGAAACCATGACTACAGCTTCATCAATCACATCTACAACAACAAACGATCCAACAACATCACCAGCTGTAACTTCTGAATCCACAACTCCTACTTCAACAACAATGCCTACATCTTCAGAAACAGCTGCACCTGTAACAACATCAACAACTACAGCTTCATCGACAACTGAAATTCCCACAACCACAATTGTGATTACAGAAACCACACCAATTACTTCAACAGTGGTGCCTACAACCTCAGAAAGTGCAACAGCAGAATCCACAACTACAGCCTCATCAACCGCATCTACAACAAACCTTCCAACAACATCAATAGGTGTAATTTTAGAATCCATAACTCTTACTTCAACAACAATTCCTACATCTTTAAAAACAACTGCACCTGCAACAAAATCAGCAACTATAGCATCCTCAACTACTGAAATTCCCACCACCACAGTTGTGAGTACAGAAACCACAACTATTACTTCAACAGTGGTGCCTACAACAGCAGAAACCACGACTGCAGCTTCTTCAACCACATCTACAACAACAAATGATCCAACAACATCAACAGCTGTAACTTCTGAATCCACAACTCTTACTTCAACAGCAATGACTACATCTTCAGAAACAGCTGCACCTGTAACAACATCAACAACTACAGCTTCCTCAACTGGAGCTGTACCTTCCACAGTGACATCAGCTCCTATGTCATCTGAAGCTCCAAGTACAACAACATCTCAAACCACATTGCTTCTTGTAACCACATCTACTTTAGCTCTCACATCTGCTGTTGTGACTTCAGAAGCAACAACGCTTACCTCTACAACAATTCCTACACCATCAGAAAGTACAACTACACCTGCAGCAAGCACAACTGCAGCTTCCACAACCACAGTGGGGCCTTCCACTACTGTGACTACAACTTCCGAAACTACAACTGCATCCTCAACATCAACGGCTTCCTCAGCTGCGATAGTTCCTTCTACTACTTCTTCATCTCCAACCTCATCTGAATCTCCACTTCAAACCACATCAACAGTTGTCAATCCTGCTCCAATAAGGTCTACAACTTCAGAAAGTACAACTGCACATACAACATCAACCTCAGCTACCACAATGGTACCTTCAACCATTACATCAGCTGCAACCTCATCTGAAGCTCCAAGTACAAAAACAGCTGAAACCACAGTGACATTTGCAGCCACAACTACTGAAACCTCAACTCTTACTTCACCAACAATGTCTACAACTTCAGAAAGTACTCCTGCACCTGCAACATCCACCATTACAGTTTCCTCTTTTATGACTGTACCTCCCACTGCTTTGTCATCTTCAGTCTCATCTGAAACTGCAAGCACAACAACACAAGGTCCAAATATATCCACAATTACAGCCACAACAACATCTGCAATTTCATCAACAACAGTCAAAACTATTGCTTTCACTAATACAGCTCCAGCTCTAAGCCAAGAAACACTCCTTACCACAACAAATGCACCTCCAATAATCACAATTGTGTCTCCAGAGACCATAACTATTGCTGTAACAATTATGCCTATCTCCTCATCACATGTAACTATATTCCCAACTTTAACTCCAACAAAAACAACTGAACCTTCAAGAACCCCAACTGCACCCATTACAACCATGACTGTTCTTCCCACCACTACAATTCCAGCTGATATCTCAGCTACAGCTCCAAGCACAACAACAGCCACCATTCCAAGCTCAACTGCAGCTCAAACAACAACTGCATATCAAGTAACATCAGGAGATCTTTTAAAAACAACTGTTGCTTTTACCAGTACATCTTCTGCTCCAGCCACACTTGCACTTTCAACCAAAACAACTTCAAGCCCAAATATGGATTCAGAAACTACAACTGCATCAACAACTACCACTGGAATTATTACAGGTTTCACTAATACAGCAGAATTTCCAGTAGTTCCAATAACATCAGGTTCAAACACAAATACGTCAACATCACCAGCATCTACAATTCCAGGTCACACATCCATAAAAACAACACCAGCTGAAACTCTTACTAGCAATACTACACCTCTGAACAATACAACAAAAGCAGATGCAACACTTCAAAGTACTTCAAGTTTGCAACCAGAAACTTCAAACATACCCAAAACATTGTCAACAAATGTGTCCGGTGCAGCAACAGTCACAACCAAATTGATATTCTCATCCTTGTCATCCCTGCCCACTGAAACTTTGGTCCTAGATGCTATTAGTACTCTTCTTAAATCTAGAGAGTCCCAACTCAATGAATCACTGAAGATTGTCAGTTTTACCTATCAGAGTAAGTTTCTTAATTATGAATGAAAAGTAATTTAAATTATGAAATTTTCAACCAGTGGAAAATGTCAAAATGTAACTGATTAAAACTGGGTGTTTCTTTCCACACAGAAATATCTGAAACTTCCTATGCTGTCATCTTTAATATTATTTTGAATAATATCAGCATGCCTGAGGATCCTGAGCTAAGAAACAGCAGTTATGTGCAAGTGCAAGATGTTGTAAATAATGCGGTACGAAACCAGCATTAACACATTAGCGAAGTTTGGGACCAGTGTAAATCTTCACCAGAGGTTGATGAATGTCTTGATTTTTTTTCCTGCAGCTGAACACTCTTCTGAATGAACCTGGCCAGCAAGTTTTCAAACCAAAATCCTCCAACTTCACGTAAGATGCAAACTCACTTCACAATCTTTATTTCATGTGTCCTCACATTTTAGCTTGGAATCCATGGAAAATAATAATTACAGAAAAAAAAAAAATCTATGTGGATTAAAGTCTATTACAGATCTCTTCTGTTTGTTGTGTAGGAGCACTTCAAACCAGATTGATGGCAGGATGGAATACATCTTCCAGGATGGAGATGCCATACAACCAGCCAGCTTCCTAAATGAGCTACGTCTTCCTTCAAACCTCATGTATGTATTGGTTTTCAATTTTGAGAACAATCAAAAATAGAGAAGTAATTTTACTGCAAACATTTGAAGTAAATTAAACCAAAGGGGTTTTATTTACAGACCTGGTTCAGCAGTGGTCACAAGCAAGCTGGTGTTCAACTCCTCATCTCCAGTCCCCAGTGAAGCTCTGGTCCTCAGCGCCATCAACACTCTCCGTAATTC